AAGTGGCGCTGTAGTTCAAGTGTTAGAGCGCTCGCCTTGAACTGAAGAGCTGAGGGACAGCACCCAGGCCCAGAGTTCAAGCCCCACGACCGACCAAAAAAAAAAAAAAAGAAATAATGAATATTGAATGACCTTCCAAATTGGCAAGCAGGATCATGAATTTGATTTTAGACTTACAGATTTTGTTATCTTTGAGATACTCAAAGAAAATCAAGGTATAATTGAGAAACAAGTTGAATTAGGTAACTCAAAATGAAAAACTAAGCTGAGCACTGGTGGCTCATGCCTGTAATCCTAACTACTCAGGGAGCTGAAATCTAAGGATCTCAGTTCAAAGCCAGCCCCAGCAGGAAAGTCCAGGAGACTCTTTTTTTTTGGGGGGGGGGTTGGTCCAGTCGTGGGGCCTGAACTCTGGGCCTAGGTGCTGTCCCTTAGCTCTTTAGCTCAAGGCTAGCGCTCTATCACTTGAGCCACAGCGCCACTTCCAGCTTTTTTCTTTTTGCTTATGTGGTGCCAAGGAATCGAACCCAGGGCCTTGAGCATGCAAGGCAAGGGCTCTACCACTGAGCCACCTTCCCAGCCCAGGAGACTCTTTTTTGTTGTTGGTGGTCGTAGGGCTTGAACTCTGGCCACTTCTGGTTTTCTGAGTGGTCTATTGGAGATAAAAGTCTCACGGATTTTTGTGCTCGGGCTGGCTTTGAACCGTGATCCTCAGATCTCAGCCTCCTGAGTAGCTAGGATTACTGGTGTGAGTCACCAGCACCCAGCTCTACCAGGAGACTCTAATCTCCAATTAACCACCAAAAGGCTGAGTAGAGCCGTGGCTCAAGTGATAGAATGCTACTCTTGAGCAAAAAAGCTAAGGGACAGTACCGAGGCCCTTAGTTCAAGCCTCAGGATTGACAGAAGAAAAAAGAATCTGAGCTCTTTATCTATTCTGAAGTATCCTGTGATGTGGTGTCCAGCCTCCAATTCCCACTTGCTTGTACAACCCCTCCTCCTTGCAGTGGGTGGGCCCTGTGATTCCTGGAGCCAAGAGAGCATGAGAATTGTGATGGACTGCAGCCTGTAATTAGGTTCTGTTGTGTAAGATTTTATCTTGCTGGCTCTTCCTCCCTTACCAGCTTTGAAGAATGCCATTCCTAAGAGGGTTTACAGAGAAATCACACACAAAGGAACTATGAACAGCCTTTTAGAGCCGAAAGCAGTACCAGACAACAGTCAGCGAAAAGCTGACTTAGGTCCAACAGCAGCAAGGAACTAGCTGCTGCCACTAACCTGAGTGAGTATGGAAGCGGATCTCTCACTAGTCAGGGCCGCAAAGGCACCACGCCCTCCGCAAGCCGTGACCAGCCTCGTGTGCCCACCCACGGGTCCCTGGCACTAAGTGGGTGTTGTTTGTGGAGATGTTAGGCAGCATACTAAACAAATACACTTCCTCTCTTGTCCCACAGAGCTCCATTCCGAGCAACACCGACCTCTCCTCATCTGCCTTATGCTTATGAAATGCATACAACTGAAACAGACGTGCTGCTCTTCCTTCTTAGATAAGTGAGACAGTCATTATAAAATCTATATGACATATCAACAAAAGGAACTAATGATCCTCGTGCAATTTTTCTCATTTCTTTTCCTTTTTTCTTTTTTGTCAGTTGAGGGGCCTGAACTCTGGGCCTGGGCAATGTCCCTCAGCTCTTCAGCTCAAAGCTTGCGCTCTACCACTTCCAGTTTTCTGAGTGGTTTGTGGAGATTAGAGTCTCACAGACTTTTCCTGCCTGGGCTGGCTTTGAACCACCGTGATCCTCAGATATTAGTCTCCTAGGTAGCTAGGATTATAGGTGTGAGCCACTGGCGCCCAGCTGCAATTTTTCTTAAGTAAATTCAATTTTTTTTTCTACCCAGCGCCCGGCTGGGTAGAAGTTCTTTGACAGAGGAGGTGAAAAAGAACAAATTGCAGAACTTAAAGACAGAGTGTAGCAGGGCGCTGGTGGCTCACGCCTGTAATCCTAGCTATTCAGGAGGCTGCGATCTGAGGATCGCGGTTCAAAGCCAGCCTGGGCAGGAGAGACCCTGAGACTCCTATCTCCAATAAACCACCAGAAAACCGGAAGTGGTGCTACAGCTCAAGTGGTAGAGCGCTTGCCTTGAGCTGAAGAGCTGAGAGACAGCACCCAGGCCCAGAGTTCAAGCCCCATGGCCGACCAAAAAAAAAAAAAAAAAAGACAGAGTGTAGGCCAGGCACCGGTGGCTCACGCCTGTAATCCTAACTACTCAGAAGGCTGAGATCTGAAGTTCATGGTTCAAAGTCAGCCTGGGCAGGAAAGTCCGTAAGACTCTTATCTCCAGTAAACTGCCAGAACACCGGAAGTGGCACTGTGGCTCAAGTGGTAGAGCACTGGCCTTGACTGAAGAGCGCAGGGACAGCACCCAAGACCAGGGTTCAAGCTCCACGACCAACAAACAAAAAACTTCTACCGAAAGCACAAGGCATAATTAGAAGGCCTGTACTTCTGTGGATTGTACTGGAACTTCTCCAAGGAGGTGCACTGAAATTACACATAGAACCTGTGGACACAGGGACACCATTAGCTAACCTTGCTCAGAGCAATTCTCTTCCTACCTCCGGAGGCAATGGTGCCTAGCACTCCAGGAACCTGATCTCGAACGTCTTTTGAGTAAATAAGACTTCCACAGTTAGCTTTCAGGAGGCCCGGCAGAGACAGACTGAGTGCTCTGGATCCTCTGCACCTTTTCACTCCCTCCCTTCTTCACCCCAGGGAACCAGCAAAAAAGGATTCTCCCTGGCTCCAGATCCTCCAGGGATGTCTTCCCTCTTTTCAGCCCGCCTGCCCCATCTTCCCGCTGCACCTGTGCCCGGATGGGAGGCTCTGGGTGTCTTCCAGGTGCTAACGCCTCATTTAACTCCTCCAAGCCCCCGCTGTGTGGTGTGGCCCCACCATGCTGGTCAAAGGGCTTGCATCTACCCAGAGAGCCTGGTGAGAGCACAGGCCAAACGCTAATGCATGCCCACCTCCCCAGGGGACCCTGGGGCCAAAAGACGGTTCAAGACCAGGACTCGGGCAGCAATGAAGGTGGAAGGGCAGAACCATCTCTCAGAGAAGGATACACATGGGGTAAGTACACAATGAAGAGGGCAGGAAGTTAAATCTTCTACAGAAGGAGAAATCCAAAATGAAGAGAGCTGAAAGTTAAGATCTTCTACAGAAGGAGAAATCCAAAATGAAGAGGGCAGGAAGTTAAGATCATTCTACAGAAGGAGAAATCCAAATACCTAGTTGTAGGAAAATGTTCAACTACACTCCTATATTACTAAATCTATGTGATGGGGTATTACTGCTTTATAGGCTCATGCCTATAAAATCCTAGCTACTCTGGAGGCTGAGATCTGAAGACTGGGGTTTGAAGCCAGTCTGGACAGGAAAGTCTCTGAGAATCTTATCTCGAATTAAACACTGGTCATCTGGGCGCCCAGTGGCTCACACCTGTAATCCTAGCTATTCAGGAGGCTGAGATCTGAGGATTGAGGTTCAAAGCCAGGCCAGGCAGGAAAGTCCGTGAAAAAAAAGGTTAAGTGATACGCACATGGTCTTTAATTGTGTATGTCTTATTTATGTTTTGGTTGTTCGTGGGGGCTGAACTTTGGGCCTGGACACTGTCCCTCAGCTCTTCAGCTCAAGGCTAGCGCTCTACTGCTTGAGCCATAGCACCACTTCTGGCTTTTTTCTGTTTACATGGTATTGAGGAATTGAACCCAGGGCCTCATGCATGTGAGGCAAGTGTTCTACCACTGAGCCACCTTCCCAACCCTGCCTTAATTTTTTAGTTTTACGGAATTATAGATTTACATGCAGTTGTGAGAGATAAATCACAGAATCCTAATGAAATAGCATTTCATACCCACCAGAATCACTGCCATGAAAAAGAATGCCCACATTGTTGAGGACCTTTATACAAGCTGGTGGTGCAGACTCGTGATGGAGAGCTTGGTTAACGTGAGTGTGCCAGCCGTGGGGCACGGCGGCCGGCTCGTGAGGCATCCCCGCGGAGGCCCAACATGCTCACACAGACACATGGCCACCAAGGCTCAGAGCAGCATCATTCATAATAAAGTAGAAACAACCTGAAGAACATCAGCAGATGAACTAAATGTGCAAGTGTATATGGACAACCAAAATCCCGGTCCTGACCCGTGCTCCCATGTAAAAAACTACACCCTTGAAAGTCCGATGCTAAGGTTTTGAATTCAGACACAAAAAGCCATACACTGTGATTTCACTTATAAAGTATCTAGAATAGTTAAATGCATAAACAAAGTAGATCAATGGAGGCAGGGGTTGGAGACAGAGGAAATGGAGAGTTATTACGGTTTAGATATGAAGTATCCCCCCAAAAGCTTGGTCCCTCATAAAAATGGTTCGTTCTCTTTGGAAATGATCGATCATAAAAGCCCTGCCTTTGGAAATGGACTAATCCACTGATAGACTCAAAATCTGAAGAGACTCTGGGGAGCTGGGGGAGCTGGGGAGGGGGGGTCAGGTGGGGGAGGCGGGGCTTAGCAGGCAGGCAACCTCGGGAGTGCAGTCTGGCCTCACCCTCCCTGCCTTCATGTATGATTTGATTTCCTTCCTTCCTTCCTTCCTTCCTTCTTTACATCCTTTCCTCCCTTTCTTCTTTCCTTCCTCCCGTTCTTTTTTTGTGCCAACAATGGAGCTTAAAGCTGGCTTTGAACTGATACTCAGCCTCATGAGTAGCTAGGATTACAGGTGTGAGCTAGTGTCCAGCTCCAAAGCTTTTAATGTAGTCTGATATATTTTGGAAAAGTTAAACAAACATGGTGTGTGTGTGTGTGTGTGTGTGTGTACTGACAATGGGTCCAAAGGCCTCACACATGCTCAGAGGAACCTACCACTGGGCCACACTCTCAGCACCTACCTAAGGATTCCTGGTCTGTGTAAGAATTAATCCTTCAGGGGCTGGGAAGGTGGCTCAGTGGTAGAGCGCTTGCCTTGCATGCCTGAGGCCCTGGGTTCGATTCCTCAGCACCACATAAGCAAAAAGAAAAAAGC